TGCGGGAATGGGGATGTGGGGTTCAGGGGGCAGGCTGTCCAGGGAGAGAGGACCACCCCTACCCCCTCTCACCTTAGGGCCATGCAACACCAGCAGGCACAGCCAGGAGAGGGGTGCATGTGCCCTGGCTGGGACAGGTTCAGATAAGGCTTTGTGGGGGCCGGGGAAGGGGCACCTGCCTCATGGCATCTCTAGGGCAGTTCTAACTTGGGTGCCATGGCCGGAAAAGACTCTGCTTTCCTGCTGTCCACCCTCCCCCCATGTAATGGCGTGAATTGGTTAAACAATAACACAGTTTTAAAAAAAGTCCCACTGGGGCCTGCCATGGCTGGCCCTGCACTGGCCCAAAGCCAGTGGTATTGCTGGGGCCACACTGGTATTGCTGGGACTGTGGTGCCCTGCTGTGCCACAAACAGGTTAACGGAGTTAATTGCAATAGAGCTGCAGGGGTAGAGGTGCCCTGGGCCTCAGCAGGACCGTGGCCCATGGAGAGGTGCTCTATTCCCTGGCATGGGCCTGCCATGTTGGGACCAGTGGGGAGAGGCACTTTTGCTCTGGCTGCGGCAGCTCCGTGCTGGGGCTGGCAGGCAGAGGTGCTGCTCTGTGTGGCCACCCTGAGCCCCTGTGTGGGGCTTGTTAGGCAGCTCTGTGACCACACAGCTTAGACAGAACTTACCTGGGGAAGAGGTAGGGTCATTTTGGAGCATGCCTGTGGGTCCCTCTGTGTGTGTCCAATGTTTAAGGAATCCCAATTTTAAGGAAATCCTCTCTCCTAACATTTGGAAAGGGAAATGGCGCTGTCAGGTGACTGGAAGTTGTCAAGCTGACCTTGCCTTTTCTAGTGGCATTAGGGCCAAGTGACAGGTGAGGGCCGCTAGCTTGTGGAAGATCTGCCTTAGAAGCCATATGCTGGGATAGAAGCAACATAGATTGGACTGTGCCATGCTCATAGCATTTTTTACCTCTCTCCCAGGACAGAGTTCAAGGAAGAGGTGATGCGGAAGAGCCGTGAGGCGCGCCTTGCTAAAGAGTATGGGAAGGAGGCAATGGAGGAGCACCAGGCGTTGATGGCATGGAATGACGCTGAGAACGCGCGGCTGCGGAAAAAGAGGTGAGAAGTGGCCCACAAGCCTGCCAGACAAAGGGCTTGGGGCACTGCTTCAGTGCAGTGAAACCCTGTGAGATGCCAGAGCTGTACAGGGAAGCTATCCCCCTCCGCTTCTAAAAGGAAAGGGTCTTACTTTGATCTGATTGAGAGCGCACGGATTCATATATTAGATCTTGGTCGCTTCAGGTCTGGCAGTGTGATCGTCTAGTCTGACTGTGTGTCGCACAGGCCGTAGAACTTCCCCAATAATTCCTAGAGCAGAGCTCTTGGAAAAATATTCCATTTTAATTGAAAAACTATCCATGATGGAGAATCCACCACAACCTGTGGTAAGTTTTTTCCAAATCGTTAATTACCCTTACGGTGAAAAATGTCTGCCTTCCCGTTTGAATTTGTCTAGCTTTGACTTCTGCTCGTTGGATCCCATTAACACCTTTCTGAGGATAGCTTGTCTCCTTTCCCTAGCTTGTTCTCTTCTGTCCCGTCCCAAACGCAAGTCAATGCTGCACTCAAGTGCCCTTTGTTAAATATTTTTCCTCATGTGGATGGTTGATAATCAAGTCACAAGCTTACCAAACTGACTGTTTCTTTAAAAGATGACTGTTGGGGTAGGCTAATGACATGCAGAGCCTTTCACCTCCAGTTTAAATCAAGCCCAGGCCACCGTACCAAGAGGTGACGATAGCTCAGCCCTTTGCACAATAGGGATGTCACCATCTAAACCAGCAGTTCCTAACCGCTGGTCTGCAGACCGCTGGCAACCAGGCTGCGGCAGCTGCTGAAGCTCAACCCAGCTGTTCATGGTGGCTCAGCTCCAGCAGCCATGGTGGCTGAGGAATGGCAGGAGGAGGTGGAGCAGGTGTCTTCCTCCCTCTGCCACGATTGGGGGGTAGGGAGCACACGTGCCACCAAGGGCCGCTCCCCCTGCCTTACAGCTGTTTTTGCCGGCAGCGGCACTAGGGCTGAGGTGGTGGCAGGAGGATGTGCCTCCCTCCTCGGTAATGGCAGCCAGCTGGGGCTCTGTGTTCTGCCTGCACAGTCACTTTTGCCACCAGTGGCACTGAGGTGGCAGCAGGAGGAGGTGCCTCTCTTGGTAATGGCGGCCCGGCTGGGGCTCTGCGCTCCTCCTACTAATGAAGGTGGAAGACACGCTTGGGGAGGGAAGGGACGTGAAAGAGGAGGGAGCGCACATGCCCCATTCCATGTGTCAGTAACAGCCACACCCCGAAGGGGAGCCTCACTCTGGGAGGTGTTTGGAGTGATTGGAGCAAAGGGAAGTTGGGTGAGGGTGTGGTGGGGTCACAGGGCAAGAGGGTGTTGGTATGGGCTATAGGGGGTCAGAGGTTAAAAGGTCAAAGGGTGTGGGGTGGGGGTCAAATGGTGGTAGGCATTGGGGAGCAAGAGGCTGCACTGGGGCGTGGCAGTCAGGCAACACTATTTACATATTCATTATTTGCATAATGAATATGCAAATAAAATGTTACAGATCCTCCAAAGGTTTGTGAATGGGTTTGCCAGTCCTTAGCATAAAAAAGGTTGGGAGCAACTGGTCTAGACAATTACACAATTAACTGATAATCTTGGGCTCCCTCTGATAGAGAGGCAGCAGTGCGCAGTGTGAGGGAGGCAAGCAAGAGCTGATACGTGCGGGGCATCAGCTTTTGAGCATCTCTCCACACATGCCTGCTCCACGCTGCCCCCTCACTCTCTGCCCTTGCTGCACCCCCTTGCTGCCTGCTAGGGATGTTAAATTTCGATCAGTCAGCTAATCGAGTAGTCGATGGAATTTCCATTGGCTAGTCGATAAAGGGTGGGGCGCTCGCTATCCCAGCTGCAACTCTGCTTTTTAAAAGGTAGAGGCACAGTGGGGAACCCGGGGTGAATGGGGACTCAAGCAGTCCTCACTCGTGCCGTTTCCCCACTGCACCTCTGCCTCTCCTGCCCCTCTACCCCTTAGCATCGGCTTCTCCTCCCCTCTCGGATTTCTCTGATTCAGAGGCAGTTTGGGGAAGAGGAGAAGCGACTAGTCGAGTAGTGACTCTGCTACCTGATAAACCTATGCTTATCGGGTAGTGAAGTAGTCGCTTACATGCCTACTACCCACACCCTCCCCCGCTGCCTTGCGGCAGGGGAGGCTGCTGTGAAGCAACCTTTGTTCACAGCAGGCCTGGGATCAGCGCAGACATGGGCTGCTCTGCTATCCCATGGAGCAGCCTCTGGATGCAGTGAGCTTGGGCCTCCCACGGACAGGGGCTGCTGCTGCCCTGCACTGCTCTCTCTCTAATACAGAGGCAGCAGAGTGGGGCAGCAGGAGGCTTGCCGGGGGTGCACTGGCCGCTGTCGTTTTCCTCCCTGGGGACCATTGAATAGTTGTGTAACCAATAATATTTTGTGCGATTACACAACTATTCAACTACACACTATCTAACATCCCTACTGTGCAAAATGACTTTGGTGTTGGATCACTTGCTAACCAGACCAGTGTCCCTTTTGCAACACCAGTGTAACTGGCACTAAATGGCTCCTTAAAGGGCTGAATCCTAGAGACTGAACTGTCCCCTTTTTTATTAAGGACAAAATTAGGGTTACGTGTGAAGACACTTTTAAAAAGGAGCTGTGCTCAAAACCTTTATTTTGTAGTAATCTCATTCAAGTGTCAATAATCAAGCCACAGATTGTAAACTCTGTGTGATCTGAATTTTTCATGGTGTCTTGATGAAAAAAGAATTGATATGGCGAGTATGGATTTAAAAATCACCCCCTTTTGGTGACTCTTCTCCCTTCCCCACTGAACTCTCTCTCCTTTTGTACTCTGATTATATTGGTTATACTAAGTGTGTACGAGGGGAATTTTCATTGTTGTCACCCAAGCTATCCCTGTTCTGTGAATAGCTAGGACTTTGACCCTTGAATCTGTCATGCTGATCCTTTCACCAGCCCATCATCTTCTGCTAGACCTGCTAACTCCCTCCCCTGCCATCCTCATCCCATGGGAGAGCAACATATTTCCCTTGAATACTATATGTTTCCCTGCTGCTGTGCTATGCCTTCCACTGTCCCCAAGAGGGCTCACTTGTATCCCCTTTCTCATGTGGTTATGTGACAGGGAGGAACGACTCAGAAGAGAGGAGGAAGAATTGCAGGACCGTAAGTTACAAGGAGCCCTCAACCATGCCAGGCTAATGGAAGAATTTCTTAAGCAGAAAGAGCAAGAGGTCCTACAGTTGCAGGTATGGAAGGCTTGGGTTTGAGGACAGCAATCACAGCATGTGTTGAGTTTGTGAACCCCTCATGTTGAAACCTGTGGGTCTGTTTGGTATCCATGGGTTTGGGAGTTCATTGGGGCACCAAGCTCATACCCCGGAGAGGGGAGAAGGGGCGTACATTGCTCTGTGGCAAACTCTTGTCTTCCCAGCTGCCTCAAGGAGTAGCCTTAATGATCTTGGGGTGCCGTAAGGATGTCCTGCCTGAGATGTTTGAGAGCAGGTCGGAGATGGAGATCCATGTGTTTCCAGGGTTCCTTCCTTTGTGCCTTTGGTGTCCTGAGCCCCTCGTGAGGTAGAATGGGAATCTTTCTGGCGGTCTTCAGGCTTTGTCTTTCTGAGATCATCAGAGCTGCTGGAAGAGCCATTGCTGGCCCAATAAACATTAATTACAGCCGCAGCAGACTTGTGGGGTAGTAATTGTGAATGCTCCACTGCGTTTGAATTGAAATGGAGTTTGGGTGAGAAGCTAAAGGAGGTTTCCTCACAGTGCTCATCCCTCATCTAGTTCATGCCTGTTTCATCAACTCCACCCCAGCATCAGATTTGGGCAAGTAGAGGATGTCTTTGTGCAGAGCCCTGACCGCTCTGCCCTGTAACATAATCTCATTCTTTGTTTAATCAGCTGTCTCAGTGGGCACTGACGCTGCACATACTGAGAAGTGGCTTCTCCCTTTCATTGGTTTTAGGAGGAAGCCAGAAATTTCATCACCCCCGAAAATCTGGACGAGCGAATCCAAGAGTGCCTGGATAACCCTCGCAACTACAACTTCGCCATCGATAAAGAAGGGCGTGTCGTCAAGCGGAGTGTGCTGTCTTAGAGACTCTTGATCTGGTTGGACAATTCAGATGAGAGATTTCCCCACAGCTTCCATCCAGAGGTTGTGCTCGCTCGTCAGGAGCTTGAGGAAAAGGGCATCATGCGTACAAGCTGACCGCGGAATTTCATTTGGACAAAGCCCTTTGGTGCTAGTCACAATTCTTGCACTGAACGGCTGTCGCCTACATCATAGCTCATGTCCCCGTTGCGTGGGTAGGAGTTGCTGTTGTCTCTGAAATTAAAGGAATTTGTTTTGTACAACACGGTAATTCTTCATTTTTAGACATGGAGTTCAGAGGTATTAGATATATTAAACTATGAGCTGATATAGTGATATGCATCACTGCAGTGTCTTAAGTGTACAGTCATGCCTCTACCAGTTCAAGATTATTCCCTGCAAAATATTCCAAGGATTGAATTCTAGTAGGTTTTTTCCATTGCTGTGCCCTTTTTCATGGGACTTCTCTCATTTTCCTAATCTGTTACTTGCCAATCTAATTTCCTCCTTTGACAGCATTACTGGCCTATTAGACAGGGGGAAGTAGTAGACGTGATGCATCTTAGGGTGTGTCTACATAGCAGGGCTTAACTTGAAATAAGCTATGCAAATTCGGCTATGTCAATTGTGTAGCTTATTTCGAAATAGGGAACGTCTACACAGCACTTATTTTGACATTGAGCACTCTTCCCCGACTTCCCTTACTCCTTGTACAATGAGGGTTATGGGAGTTGGAGTAAGAAGTCTTCCAGCTTGACAGTCTTTCGACATTATTTTGAAATAATTCCTGCTCTGTAGACACCGACTAAGTTATTCTGAAATAATGTTGCTGTGTAGACGTACGCTTAGTCAGGCTTTTGAGACACAGAATCATAGAACACTAGAACTGGAAGGGACCTTGAGAGGTCATCAAGTCCAGTCCCCTGCCCTCACAGCTGGACCAAGCACCCTTCTAGATCATCCCTGATAGATGTCTATATAACCTGCTCTTAAAGAACACTATAATGTTTACAAGAAAGTAGTAGTAAGACTCCTGTGTTACTCTAGCTTGCTTAGAGCTAGAGTATGTGGTGCTGATTAAAATTACTATGAGCCGATTGGATAACTGGTTGAAAGACTTACTCAAAGAGTAAAATCAATGGGTAGCTGTCAAACTGGAAGAATTTACCAAGTCGGGTCCTGAAGGGCATCTTGGGTTCTATTCAGTATTTTCATTAATGACTCAAGTAGTGGAGTGGAGACTATTCTTATAAAATTTGTGGATGATACCATGTTTGAGACTTGCAAACACTTTGGAGGACAGGATTAGAATTCAAAAGGACCTTAATGTACGGGAGAATTGATTTGAAGTCAACAAGGTGAAATTCAACAGAGACAAGTGCAAAATATTGCACATAGGAAGGAAAAATCAAGTGCACAACTACAAAAATGGAGAATAACCGGATAGGTGCTAGTGCTACAGAAAATAATCTGGAGGGGGTAATAGTCGATCATAAATTGAATAAGAACAATGATGCAGTTGTGGAAAAAAGCTAATATAATTCTGGGACATATTAACAGGAGTTTTGTATGTAGCACATGGAAGTAAGGGCTGTGTGGTACTGGTGAGGCCTTAGCTGGAGTATTGTGTTTAGTTTTTGGCATCACACTTCAAGAAAGATGTGGACAAATTGGAGAGAGACGATTGAGGACCTGAAAAGTCTTCAAATGCATGAAGGGCTATTACAAAGGGACTAGTGGTCTATTTTTCTCCATGCTCGCTAAGGGTGCATCTACACTGCACCCGTAGCTCAAAATAAGCTACACAATTTGAGCTATGCAAATTGCATAGCTTATGTAGAGTCAATTTCGAAATAGCTTATTTTGAAACTTGGCGCTGTTTACACAGGGCTTATTTTGAAATAAATCTCTCTTCCAAAACATCCCTTATTCCTCGTGGAATGAGGTTTACAGGGATGTTGGAATAGCGAGCCCGTTATATTTTGAAATCGCTATTTCGGGATACCTCCAGTATCCCAAACTAGTATTGCAGTGTAGACGTAGCCTAAATGTGGGACGAGAAGTAATGAGCTTCATCTACAGCAAGGGAGATGTAGGTTAGATATTAGGAAACACTGAACTATGAGGATAGTTAAGCACGGGAATAGGCTTCCAAGCAGGGGTGTGGAATCCCCTTTGGAGATTTAAAAGTACAGGTTGGACCAACCCCTGTCAGGGATGCTGGAGTTTCGCTTGGTCCTGCCTCAGCACAGGGTGCTGGATCATATGAGTTCTTGAGATCCCTTCCTGTACTACATTTCTCTGATACCTTGGAGGAAGCTGTCCTGTAGCCAAAACTTGCTGGCAAGAGATCTGTTCTTGATATACAGCATTCATTCTTTTGGGTTAATTTTTCTCTTCTCATAGTGCTACTTTTAATTATCCCTTAAGTAACCCTCTTCCTAGATAAAATCCTTTATTAATCTACTGTCAGCCGACGGTCAGGGCAGTGTGTGTGTGTATGTTTCCGAGAAAAGGTTTAACGTCCGTGCCTTTACTGCTAGGACCGGGGTCCCATCGCAGAGGGTGGCCAGCAGGCCAACAGACGCCCCGTTATATAGGAAGAGCTTATTACATCTTAGATTTCAGCTGCTAGAATTCCATAATTCCTTCGCAGCGGGCAGCCTTGAGGAAAGACTGAAAGATGCCCCAGTGGGTCCTGTCACCTGGGAGTGACACAGATCCAAACGCCCAAGCTCTTCCTATAACTGTCCCTTTAGACCGGCTGAAGTTCTTTTAAATTGTGCTTGGTTCTGTTACAGCAACTGAAGGAGTCAGGTTAAAACTTAAACAGTTACAGGTTTATTAAAGAAGCTTATAAATCATATGGTTACAATGGCTATTGCTCTATTTCTTAACTACTAGCAAAATATAGGTCTTAAAATGGTTACAAAGAAGATAAAGATAGAAAAATAGAAATAATGGTACCAAGTAACAGCTTACTCTTGCTATGTGTACACTTAAGACAGAGGACCACATCCAGGTACCATTTTTACCCCCTTCTGTGCCTCTCGACTCCAGCATGTCAGGCCAGGGCCGGTCCCTCAATTCCTAGGAAAGACGAAAATACGAGGTGGGCGTCCCCATAGAACCTCGGGAGGTCAAACACCTAACCCGACCAGCAGGTAGAGGGTAGAATGACACTCCAAGTGAGTGTGTGCTGGGCCCATCTTTTATAATCATGAGGTCACGTATTTCTCTTTCTTATCTGTCATGCCAATTGATGCTGGTCTGTCTGCTGTGAGACCAGTTCTTACAAGGGAGTTGTGAACTTAATTTACACTTGTAAGAGAGAATTGAGGTGATTAAATTTTGAAGTACTGGACATTGTTTTCTCAGTGGGAAATTCCTCTTCCTGGGACTGTGTGTGTTCGAATCAACATAGGTGCCAGCCACAGCCTCGAGGCCAGCTTATTGACTTAACTGCTCTCTATCCACATATCTGTGTTTCAGCTTCTCAGGATCAGATGAGCCAGCATAGACTATGCTGATATTATTGCTCCTTCTCTGCCCTGTGCTTTAGAGAGGCAAATAAGATGGATGATATGGAGGCAGGCTGTCTGGCCACATCTACACGTAAGATTGAGAACTTCTTAAACCCTTGTACAGTACTCCAAGTGGAGCGTAGGTCATCTGTAAGTCTCCTCCACTTCACTCTGTCTTGAGAACACATCTGTAAGGCTGAAACAAATCTTTAAAAGAAGTTTTGTATTAATACAAATATGAAGGGGTGAGAGGAAATCTTAAAAACCTGGGCAGTTCAGAGCTAAGGTCAACATTTTTAAAAGAAACCCAGATGTGAGTGGGCTGCATGAGTGGCTCTCCAGCTCAGTGGGCTGCAAAATTATCACAACCAAGACAGTCTACTGGGTTAAGGCAGTTTTGCTAATCGTGCTAGTGTGCCTAGAATTTGGGGATGTGCCAATTGAACCATAGCAGCACTATGGATGCAGAGAGGGTACACGGCTTTCATGGTCAAGGTTGTGTGCAATCAACATACACCTCACTTCAAGTGCCCTTTTCATGCATGTCACTTTAGGAATAACAATAGGAAAAAACCCTATGTGGACAGAAACCAAGGGAACCTGGCAACTCTGCATATGAGTAATGGTAAACAAAGTGTCTCACAGGCCACACACACAACCCCAATGGGCCTCATGCTGCCCACGAGTGACAAGTTGCCCTCCGCTGTCCTGGATCTTTCTCCATATGTGCTTGCCAGACAGCTGTCCTCCAGCTTCTGTTGTTTTTTTTCCACTAGATGGTTTAGGATTTGTAAAGATTGAATCATGCGTTGCTGCTCACATTTCTAATCCCTGCTATGTTTAGTTCAGTCCTGTGGATTTGCCCTTTTGATTTTTGGGGTCCCTGGCATGCCTGAATTTGCTTACTTCATGCAGGGAAGCATGTTTGTGAAGCAAGGAGTACGTCTCTAGTGCTCTAGAAATCCTTAGGTCTTGAATTCTCACCCTGGGGTTCATGCGCAAATACAATAGACCGTCCTATTCTTCCTCTGTTGTGAGAGACAGTCCTGATTGGATAAAGGAAGGATCTTAGGGGTGCTAGTATGGAAAAGGCTGTGACTTCTATTCTAAAACATTAATGAAACTTACGAGTCTCATTATTGACACCTTTAACACCCTCTTCCCCATGGCTTGCACCTCCTATCAGGGGGTTTGGACTCTTGGCCATTTGCTACTCTCTTCTGCTCAATGGAGAAAGTCTTAAGCTGGCGGTTTTATTGATCTGGCATTTCTCCTGAACATTCGTGATCTTGTTATTGGGATGCTTTACCTGCCACCTGCAGTGAAGCCCTGGATCAAACCCGTTCCTTTTAAATTGCATAATGGAACCTTTGTCTACAATACAAATGGCTGGAAAGATGGAGATTTCTATCCGTGTTTGCCAAACATTTAATTTTGACTCATTTTGTGTAGCTTTTAATATATTAGTACTGTAACGTGTTTGTTTATATCAAATTGCTTTAGCAGTGTAATATCAAATGGAGTCCAGTATCAGAGGGGTCGCCGTGTTAGTCTGAATCTGCAAAAGCGGCGAGGAGTCCTGTGGCACCTTATAGACTCATTGAAGTGTTGGAGCATAAGCTTTTGTGGGCAAAGACCCGCTTTATCAGATACATGCATGCCCACGAAAGCTTATGCTCCAACACTTCAGTTAGTCTATAAGGTGCCACAGGACTCCTCGCCACTTGTATCAAATGGAGACACTTCATTTTGACACTATTGAACCAAAAGTTTCAAAACTAGTTTTGCAGAAAACATTGGCTCTGTTCTGCATCGGAATGAAGTGGGTTTTTTCTGTGTGTTGGACGCTTCCTTTAGGCTTCCCAATATTCTGTCTTATTTAAACTCTTCTGTTCCACCATGGGCCTTTAACATGTGGCCAGAGAACTATGCACTCAGCAGGGTAAAAAGAGGATTTTGCTTCTCAGGGCCTGTGTTGCCATTAGGTGCTTAGAAATCCCCCTTACTTCTGTTTCCTCTGATTACCCTTTAACAGCAGCACAACACAGCCCTCTTTTTCTCTGGTCTCTTCTAGCATTACCTCCTCAGTTAGGGTTGTGAATGTGGAACCGGTAAGTCTCACCTGTTAAGCGTGAGGTTTGCTGCTGAAGGTTAACCGGTGGGGGCTGGAGCAGCTCCCCACCTGCTCCAAGCCTGCAGGAGGCCCACCGTGGACAGGGGCTGCTCTGACCAGGATGCTGTGTGCTTTGCAATGGATTCCTAGTTGCATGCTGACCCAAATGCTAATCAAGAGACTGGGAAGTCAAGAGGAAAGAGAGGCGGCAGGGGGCATTCAGTTCACAAGTTTCCCCACAAGCTATTGTCCTGTAACTGGGGGTGCACCATGGATCCTTACAGCAAGGAGTAAAGCTGACACACATCTCATGGAAGTGGGTTCCTGGTCAGGCCTGCTGTTAAGGGCTAGTGAGCAACATTGCATTAGATAGGAGAGGCTCTAAATGTGGGTCAGAACTTTATTTCACTTGTAGCCATTTGTTTCCAGTTCTTTTTGCTATTGCTCAAATTTCTGTACCTGGTAACTAAACTTTTGCTTGTTTTCTCTATAAACATGTCTCAGTATATTCACCGCAGGGAGAGCCGGTAAGCTGGGGTGTATGGCATTTGGGGAGGGGAGCAGAGGGCTGTGAACACTGTGAGTGTTCAGTGGACCATGGGCTAATACTCCAGCTATACACTCAGAAGGGTTGAGATTTCAGGTGTGCTTTTTGCATCGTAGGTCTAGGGGGCAGTGGTTGTATTACCCGTGGCAGAGGTCAGGGAGGTGCCTCCCAATCTTGCGGACACAAAGAAGCTCCTTAAAACCCCTCTTCCTGGTCCTGAGCTGCCTGCTTAGATAAAACACCGACATTCCTCCCCATCCTCAGGCTGTTCCAAGAAGCAGCATCTTCTGCCCAGATTGGGTGAGGAAGAGGGTTGGGTGGTGAGTCCCAGCTAAGCAGACAGTGAAGCTGGTGAGTTTGTTACAAAGCCTGAGAGGGGAAAAAACCACAGAAGGGGTGTTTTTTTTGGTACAAGTTTTATTTCTAGCTGGGACGTTGTTTACATGACGGCAGGGGCGTGATGCGGTCACGATGAAGGCATCCAATTGGGCTGGCTTTTGGTCTTGCGCCACCGCGGCGATGGCAAACCCCGTGACTTCATCCCTCCTGCTGAGTGAGTGGTCTAGGAAAACAGCGATTCTTGGTCGCAAGCCGAGTCCACCAGGCAGCCCTCTGAAGAGAAACAGAAACACGTGAAAGGAAACTGGGTGCACTCGGCCTCTGGGCTTACGTATGGCTGCGCTGGATAACACCGTAAGCCCCATCCTCAGCTGCTGTCAATCCATGCTGCTCTGTGGAGGAAGGCGGTACCATACCAAGATGCGTCCCCGAGGTCTGGCCTAGGATGTGTGTGTGGTGCATCCCCTGCAGAAGGGGGGCTTTTATAAATGCTTCCAGCTGGGTGAATTTCACTGCTGTGCACAGGGCTTGGCCCACGGCGACACTGCTGCTAACTTCTCCTGTGGCAATGAAGGCAAGGGCAGGCTATTGGAGACTTCCCTGGGAAAGGAGGAAACTGGCTGGTTTGCCACCACCATTAACTTCCCCATTTCTTCTCTGCCCACAAATGACCTTAAGCTCCAGAGAATGGTTTATGGCCGTTGAAGTAGCACCGTCCCTGCATACCATCTGAAGATCTCCAAATGCTTTCTAAACCCCAGTGAATGCAGCTGGGAGGCTGAAAGTAGAATGAACCCGACTGTACTGGTGGGGAAACCGAGGCACAAAGTGGATAAGCAACTGCCCAGCGTCCCTCAGGCAACCTGCACCAGAGGCCGGGCTAAAGTTCCTATCTGAGCCCTCCCCCCACATGCTGCCTCCTAATCACAAGAGCCGTCTTCCTCATGTTAAAAGTACGGGGGGAGCATTGAGAAGAGACAGGAAAAGGGGGTGGTGGGAGGGACTGTGCTAGTTACTATGGAGCTCTGGTTAAAGGCGCAGCTCCGTGCTCTCTCACCATTGTTACAGCAGATCCCGGGGGCGGCGCAGGTCCCACCACTGGGCCCGCAGGGCTTCCTGCCGGACTCGCAGGGCGTTGGCAGGTAATTCTCTTCCTGGCAGCGCAGGGTTTCTGAAGTCCCGAAGTAGCATCCCAGCTCGGCTCCACAGCAGATGCTAGGGCCAAAGCAGTGGCCTTTATTCCGAGGCCCGCAGGGGATGCACTGTGGGGGGAGAGACATTCAAAGGCGGGTTAACCAGGGGAACAGCGTCCCGTCCTGCTGGGGTCCTGAGCCAAAGCCGGGTGGAACGAAAACCCCTTGGAGTGCCCTCTTTCTGCTCTTGTGTGCCAGGATTTAAGGAGCCCCTGTATGCACAGCTCAGGCCTAGTGCCTCTGTTCTAGTCTGTTCAGGCTACGTCTATGCTACCCGAGTTTTCACCACAAAAAATATGCTAACGAGGGACTCATTTGCATGAGTTGCTATTTCATTTGCATATTTTCTGCCAATCTGTTTTGGCGCTAGGGGTTTTTGCGCAAAAACAAGCCGTGTTTGCCACCCGCCCCGTCCACGTCTAGGCACCGGCCCTGTTGCTGGCCGCTTCCC